GTTCTCAGCCGCAGCCTGCACCGCCCGCCGCCGCCGCTTCACAGCGCCGCCACGCCCGAGACCAAAGACCGCGCTCTCGCTCTGCTGGACGCCGCCCCCCTCAGCGCGGGCCCCGGCCGAGGATTGAGATCAAGCCCGAGGCCTCAAAATCTTCCTAGCCATTCTAGGAAAGCGACGGTGTTCAGATCCCGCTGCGGCCAGATTTCCACCAAAACTTCTCGCTCGGTCAGTTCCAAGCATCGCGACTGTCCCAGTGTATTTCGCAGTGAGCCAGCCGGTGTCTCAGCCCGTTTGCCTGCGCACAAAAGCCGTTTTTACGGCTACCCAGATAAATCCAATAAAGAGTGCATTTTCTGGTGTTCCGGCCACGGCCGATGGTGTTATGAGTGTTGTAAGAATGCCCACCCAGTGCCCATTCCCTCACCCAGACACAGCCCGCCACGGTGCAGGGCTAGCACAAATAAAATCGACTCAGGTCGGTTGTGCAAACAATGTAGTGAACGCGCCCATGTCACCATGCCCGCTCACACTGCATGCTGCGTGTCCCTTGGTTTCTGTAAAAACGAAACCAACACACATTCAGTCGGCTCTGACCGACAATGTTTTCAGTGTAATAAATGTGCCCGCAGTCCCGCGCCCACATTTTCTCACAGACACGCCGAATCCTACGGGATCTGCCCCGCTCACTTTTTCTGCACAATCTGCCATAAAAAAGCTGAGCGCGGCCAGGCCGCCCGCTGTGATCAGCGCGCCCCCCGCCTCGAACGCTGTAAACACGGTGTTGTGTTCCCAGTATACCAGGGCTCTCGAGCTGCCGTTTTGCCGCGACCAGAGCCCGGATTTCATTCTGCCTCTAGCTATTCACGCAGATGCGTGGTCAAAGCTTCCCGGGGTATCAGAATGGGTGCTGAACACTATAAAGAGAGGCTATTCGCTACAATTCGCTCGACGCCTGCGCCGTTATACGGCGCGTGTCGAAACTACGGTGAAAAACGAAGTGTCTCATCTACTTCGTGCCGAGATAGCGAAACTACTGAGCAAAGGGGCTATAGAACCTTTATCTCAGGCTCAGAGCGAAGGGGGCCTATACAGCAGATATTTTCTGGTACCGAAAAAGGATGGGGGTCTCAGACCCATTTTAGATCTATGACAGCTGAACAGAGTGCTTGTGAAACGCCAGTTCAGAATGCTTACGACCAGGAAAATCCTCGCGCAAGTGCGCCACGGGGACTGGTTTATGTCGATAGATCTGAAAGACGCCTATTTCCAAATACAAATAGCGTCCCATCACAGGCGATTCTTGAGATTCCCCTTCGAGGGCCAGGCATATCAATACACAGTCCTGCCGTTCGGCCTGTCCCTAGCACCTCGTACATTTACGAAGTGCATGGACGCGGCGCTCGCACCCCTGAGACTTCAGGGCATGCGAGTCCTGAACTACTTGGACGATTGGCTGATTCTAGCTCGATCACGATCGGAGCTCATAGAACACAGGGCCGCATTACTCGAGCACCTCGAGGAGCTGGGCCTCAGTCAATTGGGCGAAGAGCTCACTGTCTCCCAGTCAGAAAATTTCCTTTCTGGGAACAGTGTTGGACTCGCTGTCCATGACAGCACGCCTGTTACCAGAGCGCAGGCTAAATATTCAGCGTGTCGCGAAATCCTTCCGCCACGGCGCGATAGTTCCGCTCAAAAGGTTTCAGAAAATGCTGGGGCTGATGGCCTCAGCAGCCTCTGTACTCCAGTTGGGCTTGCTCCGCATGCGCCCACTGCAGATGTGGCTGAAAGCGCGGGTTCCACCCAGGGCATGGACAGCGGGTCTGTTTCGCCTCAGGGTCGACCTTCAGTGTGTTTCAGCTCTGGAACCTTGGAAAATAACAGACTGGTACCAGTCAGGTGTGAGTCTGGGGACCGCTTCGAGTGTGAAGGTGGTGTCTACGGACGCCTCCACCTCGGGGTGGGGAGCACTGCTTGAGGGCAGACCGCTAGCTGGCCTGTGGTCAGAACGGGAAAAGCTCCTTCACATAAACTGCTTGGAGATGATAGCAGTCGACAAAGCGCTACGGCGTTTTTGTCCCCAGATAACAGGCCACCACGTCTTGGTCCGGTCGGACAACATGTCAGTGGTGGCGTACATAAATCGCCAGGGCGGCGTCAGGTCACGAAACCTTCACAGGCTGACGGAACGCCTCATGGTCTGGGCTCAGCACAACCTGCTCTCACTGAGAGCAGCGCATGTGCCTGGTCACCTGAATGTGGGACCAGACAGACTGTCCAGGAACAATGTTCCAGCAGGGGAATGGTCGCTGCACCCGCAGACGGTCCAGCTGCTGTGGAAAACGTTCGGCAGAGCACAGGTGGACCTATTTGCGTCTCACGAAAACGCTCATTGCCCGGAGTTTTTCTCGAAAAGCAAGGACGCGCTGGCTCATGTTTGGCCCCGCTGCCCCTGTATGCTTTTCCTCCTGTCTCGCTCCTGCCTCAGGTGTTGGAACGAATCAGGGAGAACGGATGCCCAGTGCTGCTCGTAGCTCCGCTCTGGACAAACCAGACGTGGTTCCCTGCCCTGATTCAGCTGACCAGCACTGCCCCATGGCCTGTACCATTGAGGAGAGATCTCCTCTCTCAGGCGGAGGGCTCGATTTGGCACCCTCGCCCGGAGTTGTGGTCCCTGCATGCATGGGCTATCAACGGGTACCCGCTAGCCTCCCAGAAGGAGTGTTATACACGATCGCGCAGGCTAGAGCTCCGTCTACCAGGCGGCTCTACTCCTCGAAATGGTCTGTTTTCTCTGCATGGTGTCAAGCCCGGAGCTTTTCACCTGTGGAATGCGGGGTTTCGGAAGTGCTTTCCTTCCTTCAAGAGCTACTGGATAAGGGCAGGACCCCATCCACGCTCAAAGTATATGTGGCGGCCATAGCAACGTTTGCAAAACCGGTGTCTGGCCAGTCGCTGGGGAAAAACGACTTAGTCGTGCGTTTCCTTAGGAGAGCTCGGAGGCTGAACCCTCCCAGGCCCCCTTCAGTCCCGACGTGGGACCTTTCCACGGTCCTGGAGGCCATGAAAGGCGCCCCGTTCGAGCCAATCCAGCTGGTGGACATGAAAAACCTGTTGTTCAAAACAGTGTTTCTCATGGCTCTCGCTTCAGTGAAGCGCATAGGGGACTTGCAGGGGCTTTCAGTAAGCGCGTCGTGTTTGGGCCTAATGACTCGAAGGTCATTCTCAAACCTAAGCACGGGTATGTCCCGAAATCCCTCAATACACCGTTTAGGGCCCAGGTAATTTCCCTGTCCGCCCTTCCGGTTCTCAGTGAGGAGGAGGACGCGAGTCTCCTTTGCCCCGTCAGGGCATTGAGAGCTTATGTGTCACGCTCGTCTGTTTTCAGACAGACGGAGCAGCTTTTCGTTTTGTTTGGCGGGCGTTCCAAGGGACTCGCCGCCTCTAAACAGAGCCTATCCAGATGGATAGTGGATGCCATTGCGCTCGCTTACTCTGCAAAGGGCCTACAGTGCCCCTTGGGTGTCAGAGCGCACTCCACAAGAGGCGTGGCCTCTTCGTGGGCTTGGTCGAGCGGGGTTTCCCTGCACGATATCTGTACGGCCGCGGGCTGGGCCTCGCCGTCTACATTTATAAAATACTATAACCTGGAGGTACCCGCCTTACAAGCTAAGCTTTTGGCGGTCTAAAATTCAGTGCTATCTGCCCCGCTGTGCGGCCCAGATGCTGAGTTTACTGCAGCCCCATGAGTGTTGACACACATATGGCCACCCAGATCAGGCTGAAAGCTTTCACCCTGGCTGCGCGTTTTATTGTCATATGATAGCCCCGCTGGGTGCTTTTTTATAGGGAATGACGCTTCCAGCCTCTCTTCCTCCACTCTATGTGAGTTTATGGTGATTATGCACTACATGAGCCCTGGGCTTCGGCCCTTGGGACTTTGGTGTTGGATCCCTGTACGCACAGCGTGTTGCATTGTGTTCCCCTAGCGTAAGCTATTACGCAGTACGAGAGATACTCTCGTAAGAGAACGTACTCGGTTACTAACGTAACCTCGGTTCTCTCTAGAGAGGGAACGAGTACTGCGTATCTTGCCGTGCTTGGAATACGCTCTGGTTCGCTTCAGCGATAAAAACCAGCTTGTACCAGCCTAACGAGCATATTTATAGGGTGAGACCACGCCCCTTCTGGCGGGACGTGACGATATGGGCGCGAATTGCCCCCATTGGTCATTACGTCACGCAGAGTCTCTCTCGATAGGCTGCTGCATTTGCCGCAAGAGCAACCAATAGGCGCACGAGCTGTTTCGCCTATGTCTGCTTGCTGCTGCAAAGCGTTTTACATTAATAAAAAATTAAGGATAATTTTTGGCTTCAATATCTCGTGGAAAAGAGTTTTTCCCCTAGCGTAAGCTATTACGCAGTACTCGTTCCCTCTCTAGAGAGAACCGAGGTTACGTTAGTAACCGAGTACGTTTTCTAACAATACTAATGAGAATTTTTAATTAAAGTACATTACAAACTTTTAATTTAGACCCTAAAGAATCATATTAGCTTGTACAAAAATGGCATTATATGACCCCTTTAAGAGTTGGCGAACTTGATGGTTACTGGTCTCATCCCCATCCATTTATTTTAGCTGTACAAAAACTGTTCATTATGCTGCTTGATATTACAAACTGTTACTTATTATATTATTTTGATTCATTTTCATAATCGTAAACACTGGTTTGAAGCGTAAAAATATTTTACCATTTGCAGCATTTTGCTATTTTTCTTGTTATACCGGCAAATAATCAGAAGTCTCCACACGTTCACAGAAAAAAGCTAACCTGTTGAAGGTGAATAAATCTTTTTTGTTGTTGATTACATGTTGTATTTTGCATATTGATACCTTTGTTATGGATATATTCTTCTGGAATCGACACACCATACTGTTCTTTGCCCGTCGTATAAAATATATGGCTCAATAAAACAGCACCAATAAGGGAGCAAAGTTCTGCTGTTCTCTGTTATCAAGTCGTACAGTGCAACGCACACCATGTCTCTGACAATGCTTGTAGTATTAACTGTATATAACTGCAGTTAATGCATTATTTTAAAGGACTGGATCTAATATTTACCTGTTAATTAAGAATTTTGGAACCTGAGAAGAGGAATTTGAGTGTCGTCATGAATCGAAGCAGTTCACATAGCTCCTCAGGTGAGTGTGATACATTTTTATTATTGCACAGTTTGATCTAACCGGTTTAGTCACATTTGATTAATCAAACTTTGCTCTAGAAATGATGGCTGTCCGCTTATAATTGATTATTGCCTTTAATATTGTATCTATGATTAATGATTTTGATTAATTTGTTTAATACTTTTTTTTTTATGTAGCTATAGGTTTCACGTCCAAAACAAGCAGAGAACTGTTTAGTTTATTGCGGTTTTATGTTTCAGCAAATCAAGACAAAGTCAACATAGCAACAAGAAAAAACAAAACTTGATTATACAGAAAGCTACCAAAAGTGCTCCCTTTATTACATTGTCTAGCTCTCTGACTGAGTTCTGTACACTGCCTTTATTTTCCTGTTATAAACAATGAAGCTGACTACATTGCACAATGAATGTCATATATTGTGTCTGCAAACCTTATACTGAGAGCATTCACCAGAGTGAAGAACTCTGAACAAATATATAGCATTTATTTGTGGCATTGTGTGGATTTGTTCAGCAACTGCACCTGTGACTTAAAAGTCTCTGATTTGCCATTGCATTCAAATGCTCAAAATACATGTTTGTGATTGTCTACCATGTTCAACACTGCTGCTGCTACAAAAAAAAAACTTTTATAAATGGAAACCATTAAAGCAATGCTAGTAAACCAAAATAGAAAGGTTAATCAACACTTTTCGTGATTAGTTAATTGCTGCAGCCATTATTGTAATTCCATTTATTTTTATTTATTGTGCAAACCTACTAGTAATGTTATACTAACATAAACAGCTTGGTGTTTTATCTAGACTTATATAATATTATACACACAACAGTTCTTATAGTACATATAGGCCTGCCGCCTACTACATCAATTTCTGGTTCTCGAATCTGATTGGCTGAGAGCCTTTTCCAGCCGTGCTATATTCACACAGTAACAGCACTCTGACCGTTTCACTATGTATATCACTCCGCTTGCAGCGACTGACATGGCAGGCAAATACACCATCTTTAAAAAAAAAAAAATACTACTGTTTTTGTGTCAGGAAATGTAGTTTTAAGAGTTTTTTAAGGTGAGAAAGTTTATTTAGCCTCTTAGCCAGTCAGATTAGAGAACCAAAAAATAACTGTTGTATACATTATACACTCACCGGCCACTTTATTAGGTACCCCATGCTAGTAACGGGTTGGACCCCCTTTTGCCTTCAGAACTGCCTCAATTCTTCGTGGCATAGATTCAACAAGGTGCTGGAAGCATTCCTCAGGGAGTTTGGTCCATATTGACATGATGGCATCACACAGTTGCCGCAGATTTGTCGGCTGCACATCCATGATGCGAATCTCCCGTTCCACCACATCCCAAAGATGCTCTATTGGGTTGAGATCTGGTGACTGTGGAGGCCATTTTAGTACAGTGAACTCATTGTCATGTTCAAGAAACCAATTTGAAATGATTAGAGCTTTGTGACATGGTGGAAGTAGCCATCAGAGGATGGGTACATGGTGGCCATAAAGGGATGGACATGGTCAGAAACAATGCTCAGGTAGGCCGTGGCATTTAAACGATGCCCAATTGGCACTAAGGGGCCTAAAGTGTGCCAGGAAAACATCCCCCACACCATTACACCACCACCACCAGCCTGCACAGTGGTAACAAGGCATGATGGTTCCATGTTCTCATTCTGTTTACGCCAAATTCTGACTCTAACATCTGAATGTCTCAACAGAAATCGAGACTCATCAGACCAGACAACATTTTTCCAGTCTTCAACTGTTCAATTTTGGTGAGCTCTTGCAAATTGTAGCCTCTTTTTCCTATTTGTAGTGGAGATGAGTGGTACCCGGTGGAGTCTTCTGCTGTTGTAGCCCATCCGCCTCAAGGTTGTGCGTGTTGTGGCTTCACAAAGGCTTTGCTGCATACCTCGGTTGTAACGAGTGGTTATTTCAGTCACTGTTGCCCTTCTATCAGCTCGAACCAGTCTGGCCATTCTCCTCTGACCTCTGGCATCAACAAGGCATTTCCGCCCACAGAACTGCCGCTCACTGGATGTTTTTTCTTTTTCGGACCATTCTCTGTAAACCCTAGAGATGGTTGTGCGTGAAAATCCCAGTAGATTAGCAGTTTCTGAAATACTCAGACCAGCCCTTCTGGCACCAACAATCATGCCACGTTCAAAGTCACTCAAATCACCTTTCTTCCCCATACTGATGCTCGGTTTGAACTGCAGGAGATTGTCTTGACCATGTCTACATGCCTAAATGCACTGAGTTGCCGCCATGTGATTGGCTGCTTAGAAATTAAGTGTTAACGAGCAGTTGGACAGGTGTACCTAATAAAGTGGCCGGTGAGTGTATATATATATATATATATATATATATACACTACCGTTCAAAAGTTTGGGGTCGGTACGATTTTAAATACTTTTAAAAGAATTCTCTTCTGCTAACCATGGCTGCGCTTATTTGATTAAAAATACAACAAAAATCAGTTATAGTATTAAATATTATTCCAGTGTAAATCAGCTGTTTTCTGTGTGAATATATAGTAAAGTGTAATTTATTCCTGTGATCAAAGCTGAATTTTCAGCATCACCAGTGTCAGTGTCTTCAGTGTCAAATGATCCTTCACAAATCAGTATAATATGAGGATTTGATGCTCAAGAAACATTTATTATTATTATCAATGTTGAAACAGTTGTTGGTCTGTCAGTTGTACAGTTTTTGTTGTTGTTTTTTTTAGGATTCTTTGATGAATAGGAAGTTCAAAAGAACAGCATTTGTTTGATATAGAATCTTTTGTAACATTATAAATGTCTTTACTGTCCTTGATAAATAAAAGTATTGATTTCTTTCCTCCAAAAAATAAAAATAAAAATTCTCACTGACCCCAAACTTTTGAACGGTAGTGTATATATATATATACACCGTCAAATCAAAATTTATTCAGACACCTTCAACATTTCTCATTAGTTTATTCGCTATAGTTAGAAAAATGGTAATAAAATATTACAAGAACTCAGTATCAAATCAGTTGATATTTCACTGGTTTTGGCCATCCTTCTGTTAGACTGTCTCAGAAATTAATTAGGTTAAATAGCTGTCAGCCGGTAAATAAGTACACAAATAGACCATATTAGACCATAATAATACCAATTAAGCTCAACCAAATACCAGGCAATGCTTAATTTTGTTCAGTCTGTGGTGTAAAAAGGTCGCATTAGCAATTAAAGAAAAAACACTTAAGCAAAACATAGTCAGATCAAAGTGTCTAAATATTTTTTGGTCCCAAATTTGTATACATTTTGCCGGTAGTCCACTGTATGAAGAATTTTTGGGTATACTATGTCACAGTTTACTTTATTTTGCTATCCTCACTTACATAAATTAACTATATTGTCCCGCACCCACCATGAAAAATATATAAAATTATATCTGGTGAACAATTTTCAGTTTGACTGTGTATATAAATATAGTACATGCTCACATTCTCTGCCCTTATTTTCTCTTAACAGAGCTGAGGATTGTCCTTTTTGGTCCAAAAAATGATGAGAAATGTTCAGCAGGAAACACTATCCTGGGCAAAAACGAGTTTGACTTGAAGAAGACTTTGCACAGTATAAAAATATGCAGTGAAATAGCTGGTGCAAAGATCACTGTGGTTGATACTCCAGGCTGGTGGGGAAATTTACCCTTTGAAGAAAATCCTGAACTGTACAAACAGGAAATTGTCTTTAGTGTGACTAAATGTCCTCCAGGACCTCATGTCCTGCTCCTGGTCTTAAATGTGGACACACCATTTAAACAAAATGAAAAACACGTTCTGTGTGATAACATTAGATATTTTGGCGAGAAGGTATGGAGGCACACAATGGTGTTGTTCACCTGTACAGATCAACCTGGAGGTATAACAACACAACAGTTTATTGAGAATGAAAGTGAAACCCTTCAGTGGCTCATTGAGAAATGTGGGAACAGATATCATGAGCTCAATACTAAAAACTGGGGTGATGGATCTCAGGTGACAGAACTGCTTAAGAAAATACAGGAGATGGTGGAAGGAAACATGATATATGATATCGGCCATTATGAAATTGACAGACAGACTTTGCAACATGTGAAGGAGAAGAGGAGAGAACAGGAAAAGAGAGCAGAGGAAAGAAGGATGAAGAATCAGACAAGATGCAAGACAAGAACAAGCGGTGAGCTTTTTATATGTATATTGCTATTGCGTTTAACCAGAGACAGTTTAAGGGGCGAAAGAGCTTGGCCCAAATGAATGAGCAAGAGTAATTCTAACAATCAAAATGGTACCTATAAGAATAAAGTGCCAATTTTCAGTTAAAGGGCCCATCAAAACCTCTTTCTGATTCAATTCACTTTTGAACGCTCAGTTTCTTTAGTACAAATCATGCTAAAACTCAGTTAATGTGTCTATTTATTTTACCATTGTTCTCATAGTTATTTGCTCATTTGAAATATTATTGTACTAGTTAGGTAAACTTGCTATCTGCTTGAACAATAACATTTTATTTCAGGCTGCCTGAAAACATTATATGGCCATCTACTGACTTAACTTTAAGGGACTTTGACCTCTTTAATGTTTACTTATAGCCTACTCCATTTATGACAATGTTCCTTCTCAACAGAGAGGTCTTCGTATTAACTGGTCAGAATGCTATATTAACATAATGCTGACCTACAATACCATTTTAAAATATGTATGTCTGCCAACAGGAAATAAACATCCCCTCTCAGAGATGAGGATGGTGCTACTGGGTTATAATGGATCTGGGAAGAGTTCAGCAGGAAACACCATCCTGGGCAAATCTGCATTTGATTGCAAAAGATCACTTACATCTGCTGTAGGAGAAGGAGATTTTGCTGGATTTTGCATTACTGTGGTTGACACTCCAGGCCGAAGAAGAAATTACCACTCAAAATACACCCCTAGACTCTATAAAGATGAGGTTGTATTGAGTTCATCTCACTGTCCTCCAGGACCTCACGTCTTTCTCCTGGTCATACGAGTGGATGTTTCTTTCACTGAAGTGTACAAAAAGGCAGTAGAAGAACATGTTGCCTATCTTGGTCTAAATGTCTGGGATCACATGATTGTTCTCTTTACCTTTGGTGACTGGTTGAGAGACACAAGCATTGAGCTGTTCATTGAGAGTGAAGGAGAAGCTCTGCAGTCGATACTAGACAAATGTGGGAACCGGTATCATGTCTTCAACAACAGGAACAAAGATGATGGTAATCAAGTGACTGAGCTGTTAGAAAAGATAAAAGAGATGATAGCAGGAAACAAACGAAGCTTTTTTGAGATAAACAAAACAAATTTACAAGAGGTAAAAAACAGAAGGCTGGAAGTAGTTGAAAGAGCAAAACAAATAAAGGCTGGAGTGCAAAGAAAAAATGAACAGAGATGTTCAGCATCAGGTGAGTAAACAGTGGAAACATGGTTTCAATGGTGAAGTAATTGAGAATATTTATGTGTTCTGTCTTCTCTGTCTTTTTAAGGAGAACTTTTTGAAATGAGGTTGGTGTTGCTTGGACCACACTATTCTGGCAAGAGTTCAACAGGGAACACAATTTTGGGAAGGAAAGCGTTTGACAGAATAATAGAAGAGAATTTAAAAGAAAATGGGGAAGTTGCAGGAAGGAATCTCACTGTGGTTTATACACCAGGTTTTGAGAAAGATTACCTTATTGGAAAAAGACTTGAGGACATTAAACTCAACATCTTGAGAACTGTAGCAGAACAGTCTTCAGGAATACATGCTTTCATTGTAGTCCTTTGTGTTGAGTCTTCCTTTGCAGAGGAAGAGAAGAGCGCACTAGAGAAAATCATGGAGTCTCTCTTTGAAAGAATCTGGAATCACACGCTGGTTGTGTTCGCTGTTGGAGATGAACTAGTAGACACTCCCATAGAGTTATTCATTGCAAGTGAAGGTGACGCTCTCCAGTGGCTCATTGAGAAATGTGGGAACAGGTATCATGTTCTCAATACTAAAAACTGGGGTGACGGATCTCAGGTCACAGAACTGCTGGAGAAGATCGAGGAGATGGTGGCAGGAAACAGTGGACGCCTTTATGAAATGGACAGAGAGACTTTAGAGAGAGTTGAAAGGACAGTTGCTGTACCCATTAAAAGAGCACAGAGCATGGATAATCCAGTAAATAGTAAGTTGTTCTTTATTTACTTGCATATCGTGCAATATTTAAAGGGATTGTCTGATATATGAATTGCTTTCCTTGCAGTTGCCGAAGGTTGCAGTCCTTCCTCAGGGATCAGTTCAGCATATGTGTCCCAGAGATCGCAGGAAGCACCTGAAGAGAGGCGTTTCAAGTCAAGTTCAAAAAGGAGCTCTGGAGTGGAGTCTCTTGGCTCTATTCCTGAGTTTGATTAGTTGCTTTTCCACTGTCGAGTCAGTGCGAGTCAGGGCCAACACCGTGCCGGGCCAAAATCAAGTTGCGTTTCCGATGTTGGGCCAGTTGCCCCGCAGCGCTACCCTACAACCCAATAGGTCTCTGAATGTGTTTCAACTTGTCTATCAGCGAACTGTGACCGAATGTCTGTGAACGTATGCACACAATTTTAATGATTATTCAGTACTGAAGATAGTGTCATTTCAGTACATGCACATTTTGTTTGATTAATTGTAGCATGCTTCTCACCTTCTAAGTCGTTCGCTAATTGCTTGGAAATTTAGTTTTGACACCATGCTTGGGATTGGGATTTTTAAAATATGTTTTGTTTTATGTTAATATTTACACAAATTTTCAGTAACATGTATCTTGTATTTAATGAAAATTATAAATCTTCTCATTTTTTGAATATCAATTTAATTTGGTATCGGGCATGTTGATTCATTTGTGTCTGGGAATCTATTCTATTTTAATCAACACATGGTTTTTGACTGTTGGAAGATATGACGTTCAATAAAACTAGCAGTTCGGTAAGGAAATGATGGGTGCCACTGTCTGATCGGTTAAAGTCCAAAAACTTAGGCAGCTGAGCTGACTTGTTGCCTACTCGCTGCCTTATGCCACAGTCACACTAGACCAGGGGTGTCAAACTCAGTTCCTGAAGGGCCATTGACCTGCAGAGTTTAGCTCCAGCCCTAATTAAACACACCTGAACCAGCTAATCAAGTGCTGTGTTCAAAATCGCCAAATATACCCTCATTCACTATTCCATACATTACTCCACTAATATAGTCAATTTGAAGAAATTAATGAAAACGAGTGAGTGAATTACATTACATTACATGATACAATAGATTTGGAGTGGGCTAAAAGCATTAAAATGTGCTATTTACCCTAATGGTTTGTTGAAACTCTAAGCTATGTTTGTGGTCTGTGAATGCTGTTATTATTTATTTTTAATAAATAAATAAAAGTAAGACCTATTTTTTTCCTTTCGGATTCTTTATGTTCTTCTGAACTTTTCAGAAAGGCGTCTTTTATTGAGATTAAAGGTTAGGGATAGGGCTGGCGAACCGGTGAAGTCATGATGACGTCACTTATCTGCAATCCAGTGCACAGGTATTGTAATGTATTGTGCTGCCGCTAGAGCGCGCTGTTACGTTGGCTGGGTGAGTTCCCTTTTGTGTAAAACACCAGCAACGGAGAGTTCTGTGTTCTTCAGTAAAAACAGTTATCGTGCAGTCACACTCGCTGTCTTTATTGTCTCCAGTATCTTACATGGTGTCAGAAGTGTAGCATGGCTACCCCACAGTTTGAGCACCCGACGATTGACTGGGAGGCTGCGGATTTATATCAGGAATTTGATCGTTTTCGGAGCCACGTTACGTTCGTTTTTGATGGACCACTATCCGAACTAACTGCAAAGCAGCAAGCCGGCTGGCTGGGTACGTGGATAGGCGGACAAGGCAGAGAAATTTACAAAACGCTCACCTGGGCTGAAGGTGAGAAAGAGGATCCCGAAAAAGTGCTAGAAAAGTTTGAGAAGTATATTAGACCAAGGAAGAACAAGAGGATAGCACGCCATCGTTTCAAGCAGAGGAAACAAGACGTAAGTGAGAGCTTCGACCATTTCGTTAAAGATTTACGGCTACTGTTAATGGATTGCGCATATGCCGACCCTGACGACATGTTGATTGACGCGATTATCGCGGGCGTGCGTGAAAAACGAGTGCAAGAAAGACTTCTAGACAAAGGAGAGGAATTAACGCTAGCCAAAGCCATTGAAATCCCTCAGCAATATGAGATGTCTCAGAAACAATTGAAAATAGTCCGAGATGATGTTACATGCTCTCAGGTGTCCACTGTAGCAGAAAGTTTTCAACCTAAGCCTTCTGGCCAAAGCAGGAAAATTCGCTATTCAGATCGCAAGTTCACTCAGTCAAAGCCCTCAGCTTTCTGTGCTAGCTGCGGTAAACATCCTGATCACAAATGGAACGACGGCAAGTGCCCAGCCAAGGGCTCAACGTGCTCTTACTGCCACAGACCCAACCACTGGATGGCAGTGTGCCGTAAACGTGCTGTCCACACACTGAATGTAGAGGCGCTGGAGGAGACTGATGATGAAATACTGAACATTAGCCTAACAGACGTTGTGCTTCCGGCAGCTGCATTAACTGTGGACAAGTGGACTGTGTATTTGATGATACTTTCACAGAGAGTCCAGTTCAAAATAGATACTGGTGCCAAGTGTAACACTTTGACTCTTGACAGCTACCAGCAACTCGTGCACACTGGTGAATTGAAGCGTTCTAACAAGCTGTTGCGCTCCTACTCGAATCATAAGCTCAAACCAGTCGCTGCTGTAGATTTATCAGTGCACTACAAACAGTGTGCCACTGATGCAGAGTTTGAAATTGTGGATATTGCACAGGAAAGTGTGCTCAGCGGAGCCACGGCTGAAGCTTTAGGTTTGATAGCAAGGTTGAACTCCATACAAAATGCTGCTGAAGCTGAGGCTGACTCGCCTGTGGAGGGCATTCTCGAACAAGACGTTGTTCCTCAAGGCCTTCGTGACTTTCCTGAGCTAATACGCACCACAGGGACTCTACCAGGGAGGTACACAATCAAAATAGAGCCCAATGCTAAAGGTGTTGTCCACCCCGTGCGCAGACAGCCAGCTGCACTCAAGGGACAGATTGTCCAGAAACTGCATGAAATGGAGGAAAATGGCTATATAAAAAAAGTAGAGCAGCCCACTGAGTGGGTCAGTTCAATGGTGGCGGTCTCTCGGGGAGACAAGCTAAGAATTTGCATAGACCCCAGCGATTTAAATAAGGTAATCAAAAGAGAACATTACCCCATGCGCACCGTTGAAGAAGTCGTGTCATCTATGCCTGGAGCACGAATATTCTCAGTCCTCGATGCCAAGTCGGGATTCCTCCAGATTGAGTTAGATGAAGAATCATCATTCCTTACAACCTTCAACACACCCATTGGTAGGTTTAGGTGGTTGAGGCTACCGTTTGGAATAAAATGTGCCCCCGAGATCTATCAGCGGATCATGGATGGCATGCTAGAGGGCATTATGGGAGCAGTGGCCATTATGGATGACATCTTGATTGCGGCCCCCACTGTGAAGATGCACGATGAAATCCTACACAAAGTCATCGAGAGAGCAACAAGCTACAACCTAAAGCTTAATTTCAATAAGTGTCACATTCGGCAGAGCCAAGTTCCATATATTGGCCATTTACTGACTGCAGACGGTCTGAAGCCTGACCCAGCCAAGGTCCAAGCAGTCAGGGGCATGCCGGAACCCGTTGACAAGGAAGGAGTTCGCCGTTTTTTGGGGTTTGTGACTTATCTGTCAAAATTCATACCAAATCTCAGCGAGGAAGATGCGCCGCTGCGGCAGCTCCTGAAAAGCAATGTGGAGTTTGCGTGGCAACCGGCTCAGAAAATAGCTTTTGCAAGGCTCAAAGAACTGTGTTCACACCCCCCTGTACTGAAGTACTACGACCCATCAGAGCCAGTTGAAATTTTCTGTGATGCAAGCAGTAGTGGATTAGGTGCTGTGCTTTTGCAGGATAATCACCCTGTTGCATTCTCCTCCAGGTCTCTGACCGACGCTGAGACCCGCTATGCACAGATAGAAAAGGAGATGCTTTCTATCGTCCATGCATGCACAAAATTTCATCACTATATCTTTGGGAAGTCAGTCACTGTGTATAATGACCACAAACCACTGGAGGACATTTTTAAGAAATCACTGCTTTCCACACCCATGCGTATTCAGAGAATGCGCCTGCGCATCCAATGGTATGATTTGACTGTCCGGTACAGGAAAGGAAAGGATATGGAGCTGCCTGACACACTATCCAGGGCGCAACTGTCACACAATACTCCAGAATTGGAACATATGGAGTGTGTATCCATGTTGAACTATGTGGCTGTAAGCGAAGAGAAGTATGCTGAGCTACAGGAATGCACAAAAAAAGAACTGAGCTCCTTACAACACATCATCCAGCAAGGCTGGCCGGAGCACAGGAGAGATGCCCCAACTACTGTTCAGCCATATTGGGACTCAAAAAGTCAACTGACCATATGTGATGGAATAGTGTACAAAGGGCTACGTATAGTTATACCGCCCACTATGAGACAGCACATGTTAAAACTCATACACCAGTCTCATTTAGGGATTGTGAAAAGCAAGCAGAGAGCACGTGAAGTGCTCTACTGGCCGGGCATGAGTGCAGAGATAGAGGAGGTAGTGAAGAGTTGCAGCAAATGTGCCGATTTCCAAAACAAACTACCAAGATTGCCTCTAAAGCCAACTGAAACCCCAGAACTGCCGTTTGAGCTAGTGGCCTCAGATATCTTTGAATTTGATGGCAAGCACTTCATTCTTCTCGTGGATTACTTTTCAAAATACATTGAAGTGGACGAGCTTAAAGATCAGCGAAGCCGCACTGCCATTGAAATACTGAAATCACAGTTCAGTCGTCATGGGATTCCTACTGTCCTACGAACAGACAATGGGCCCCAGTATGCGTCAGAGGAGTTCAGAGACTTTTGTGAGAGCTATGGCATATCACATCTCACATCATCACCTCACACACCTCACTCAAATGGAGAGGCCGAGCGTGCAGTACAAACAGTGAAAAGACTTTGGAACAAAGCTCCAGACAGACATTTGGCATTGCTGGACTACAGAACAACCCCGCTAGAGACAGTAGAGTTGTCCCCAGCGCAGCTGCTCATGGGCAGAAGACCCAGAAACAAACTCCCTGCAGCTCAACAACTGCTTGCCCCAAAGGCCTACAACTCTTTGAAAGTCAGACACCTGCTCAATAGGTCCAAAGCTTCCCAGAAGTACTACTACGACAAAGGCAGGACGATGCATACTCGCCCTGCGCTGGTGCCAGGTGAAGAAGTCAGAATGCAGCCCTACCCCGGCCACTCCAAGTGGTCTCCAGCTGTTGTCGTCCAGCAACATAGCAGCACACCCAGGTCTTACATCGTAAACTCTGGTGGCACGGAGTTCCGCCGGAACTCTCAGCACCTTCGCAAAAGCACTGCAAGAGCGAATCAGTCCCGTCACCTCATGCAAGATGAGCCTTGGGAGGAGTTTCCCGATGTCCTTCCAGAAGAAGACGAACTGATTCCTCCCCTAGTTGGAACAAC